TCCCACACTGTTTATATTTGATCACTGCTGCAATTTATGGAACTTTAATGTTCATTTACTGGAAAGCCGTACTAAACAAAATTTCATTTTGTACACACTCTTTGTAAATAAAATTAGAATCCAAGCTATATAGGCCTAAATCTAAGTCTCTCTTGTGAAACATGAAGGAGGCTGCAACAAACTGGTGACCTGACCTGGGTGTACCCCGGCCTCTGCCCATGAAGAACTGTAGCCAACCTCACTGGATGTGGCTGCAGGAGGAAAACTGATGACAAATCGAAGAAACCAATAACATGAAAAATATTAAAAGAGCCTAAAAAATAAAGAGATTAAGGGTGAACTTCCAACTCAAGGAACATCAGTGTCACATCTCTGGATATTTTAGCCAAATCTGACTTAAAGACAAAACAGAAGGAAACCATTGTTGAAAATAATAAAGCTTCCCAAACTACATGTTGACAAGCCGCAAAGCCATCCATTCATCCATCTATTCATCTTTACCCGCTTATTCCATTGGGGTAGAGGTGGGGCCATGCTTATCTCTGGCAGTCTATGGTTGAGAGGCAGATTACACCCTGGATAGGTCACCAGTCTTTGGCAGGTAAAGTCAGAGACATACAAAGATGTACAACCATGTACACACACCCCCACACACACCAAAGAACAATTTAAAGATGCAAATTAACCCAATAGTTATGATTTTGGACTGTGGGAGGAACCTGCGTGTTCAGGGAGAACATGCAAACTCGCAGAACATGCAGAAAAAAACCCTGCAACCTTCTTGTTGCAAGGCAACAGTGCTACAAACTGCACCACTGTGCAGCCCCAAGCCTTCTTGGTAAAAGTCCTATGGACAGCTGAGACAAAAACCGAACTGTTTGCTAATGCACATCAGCTCTATGTTGACAAAATATAAAACATATCAAGAGCAGAACACTCTTTCTTCTGTGAAACACGGAGGAGGATGTGTTATGTGCTGATGCTGCTTTTCTTCATCTGGCACAGGGCTTCTTGAATCTCTGGAGGATCCACTGGTGTGAGGATTCTCTCTAGAATCCCTATATCAAGGTGTTCTAGAGAGAATGGTGCTGCCCATTGACAGAAAGCTTGGTCTCAGTCACAGGTCATGGATCCACAACAGAATAATTACCCAAAACATACAGCCACGAATGGCTAAGAGGAAAACATTGGACCATTCTATGACCGCTGACCTAAATACTACTGAGCATATTAGGAAGGAGCTGAAACAGTCCATATAGAAAAGGAACCCTTTAAACGTGAGACAACTAAGGCAGTTTGCTCATGAGGAGTGGACCAGAATACCGAATCAGAGGAACAGAAGTCTCATTGACAGTTAAAGGAATCGTTTGATGGCAGTGATTGCCTCAAAAGGTTGTGAAACAAAATGTTAAGTCAAGGGCACCATTATTTTTGTCCAGGCATGATTCACGCGTTTAGTTTTTTACAATAATTTTGTTGAAGCCTGGTTTATAAAAAAAATGTCTGACTTCACAGCAAAGTCATGGAAATTTTATTTAGTTTTACTTTTGTCAGGTTCAAGTTCTTTCTGTGACCATTGTGGGTTTTTCTTTCATTAAATAAGACATACCAACAATTTAGTCCTTTGTGGGATTAGGAGAGAAATAGGATTAAACTGCATTAGCTGTCATATCTAACATGCTGTTTTAGGTTTCACACACTGTCCCTTTTTTATGGCGTTTCCACAGATTCTTTATTTCAAAATAATTTCTAAATGAATAGATTCAAATCTATTTTATGTTTAAGTTGTAAAAGAAAGTTATTTTGCTAAATTTTGACATTTCAGTCTAGATGCTGAAATTTCTGTTATCTTTCATCAAAACCAGCATTACGTTTCTATCAGTATCAGCCACAGATGAGGAGAATATATCCTGAAACATCTTCAAACACTTTTACTATCAATTTAGGCCATTGAGGTGATATTGTAAATGCCAGTGAGTTTTCTTTTCTTTTTTACGAACGGGGAAGCAGTATTATCTACACTGCTGTTATCACCCTCCCCTTCCCTTCAGTCCTGAAGGGCTGTAGTTTGTCCATCTCCCAGGGTTTCTCTGTTCCAAGAATGTCAAGACAGAAACGAATGACCTTCTGCTCCAGTCTCATCCCAGCATGCCTGCCAAGTCTAAGGAACAAGTTCTTTTCGTCTTCCTGTCTTTATCTTTATATCCTTTAAGGCATTCATGCATGTGGCATATAAATATTGAGTTAATGCAAAAAAATGCAAAACACATCTGCCTCTATGATGCTGACATATTGTAGCTTTACTTCAGAGTAGTGGCCAATTTCTGTTCAGTAAAGGATTATAAACTTTGCTTTGGTGATGCAGGTCAGGTCCCGTACAAAAAAAAAACTATTAAGAAGTGTTGCCCACGACCTTGGGATGTGAAGCTACTACAGCATTTCAAGTGTGGTGAGTAATTGGACAATAAGACTGAGCACAAGTATAGCATTAGGGATGTCTGATTTTCTTCCAGAGTCTTCACAGCAAATTTTGCAGTGTTAAATCAACACTTATAGAGTTAAATTTAACACTATATCCGAGTGTATTTGGTCCTTATCAAAATAGTGTTGAATTAACTCTTTCCAAAGTGTTGAAATTTCAGAGTGAAATTAACTCAGAATTGAGTTAAAATTTAACACCGGTTTACACTGTACAGTGTTAATAGAACTTAACACTGTAGGTTA